CCTCACCACCACTCCCACCCTTACCCCCATCGCTACCCTATCGCTACCCTCACCCCTTTCCCTCCCACTCCTACCCCCTCACTCCTCCACCCCCACCACCCCCCAATGAATGATAAAACTGAGCCATATATCCAAACCCTTTGAACACGGGATATATAATTTATTTGATATTTAAAACGCTCAGTCTCGTTCATAAAAGCTTTCATGTCAGGTGGGCGGTGAGTGGTCCCGACGTGTGGGATTATGTTGCGGTAAGTAGTGGTGCTTCTGTTAATATGCATCTTAATTGATATTTATGTACCTACATTTATATTGTTTAATGTCCAGTAAAGAAAATGGCATAGTGTACAACTCTAAATAACCCAGAAATATCAACAAACTTCAAAATACGCCAATTAAATTATGTTAAGTTCGTAAGTAAGATTTATATAGTGACTAGAGATATGAAAATACTTGTTATTGAATGACTATAAATTTAGAGCGTACTAATCGGGAGTCACAAGTCAGCATAGGTCAAGGGTCGTGGGGTTCATAGGTCATGAGTCACAGGTCAGCACAGGTCAGAGGTCAAAGTGATTAAGGAGAAGTCGTCCAGTGTGGTGTTAGAGTCAGGGTCTGGGTGATTGGTTTATTGGACGGTCAAGTGCCTGTTGCCCTCACCCGCCGGTAATTGGTACTAGACGAGACGAGAGAGAGACGAGACGAGACGAGACGAGACGAGACGAGACGAGACGAGACGAGACGAGACGAGACGAGACGAGACGAGACGAGACGAGACGAGACGAGAAGAGAAGAGAAGAGAAGAGAAGAGAAGAGAAGAGAAGAGAAGAGAAGAGAAGAGAAGAGAAGAGAAGAGAAGAGAAGAGAAGAGAAGAGAAGAGAAGAGAAGAGAAGAGAAGAGAAGAGAAGAGAAGAGAAGAGAAGAGAAGAGAAGAGAAGAGAAGAGAAGAGAAGAGAAGAGAATTACTATGTTCATATCTCCCTCTATGAGATATCTTAGAAAATCCCCCACTTCGTTTACAAAAAAATACAGACTACAGTAGAATGTATAATCATAACTATTCTATCTAACTAATTACCTATGAAAACAATTAATTCCTGAACATACACACACACTGTAAGGGGAGATAAATATATACCTGTGCTCTACCTGCATATGTGTAACGCAAGGAGCTTCAGGCAGGGAGAAAGGTTAACTCGTAAATGTTTCCAGAGTGGAGCGCTTGTCTGGTCAGGTATCGTCTGTATGTCTGTCTATATTCAGGCCTCTCTCTCTCTCTCTCTCTCTCTCTCTCTCTCTCTCTCTCTCTCTCTCTCTCTCTCAAAATAGAATCACAAGTTGTCAAGCCGAACAGACATAACAACATGGCACAAAACATATACAAGCTTCCTGAGATGGTTGTTCATTACTCACCTCACCTGGGCTAAGCTTACCTGTTGCTCTAAATCAAGAGAAACAGTACTAGATATTGATTTACCATTGTCTTTGTTGATGAAGAGATATAAATAAAACAAAGCGATACATCTATTGTTAGCAGAGGATTAATAGGTAATGGAAAAGAACAACGATAACACGAATAATAAGAATAATAATAATAATAATAATAATAATAATAATAATAATAATAATAATAATAATAATAAAAATAATAACAATAATAATAACAATAATAAAAACAATAACAATAACAATAACAATAACAATAATAATAATAATAATAATAATAATAATAATAATAATAATAATAATAATAATAATAATAATAGTAATCAAAGACACTTAAATCAACGTGAACATAGAGGTAGAACAAACAGGAGATCTAGAGCCCCAAGTACAATCTCAACACAGTTTGGAAACCATTTGTGATGTAGCTTGAGGGAGCCTGTTACCAGCCTCTCCTTATCTCCGGTGAAGGGAAGTAGTCCTACGAAGGATCCTGTCGTTGGTATCCTAAGGCGAAAATACTATTGTAGATAAGGAGTGAGTCTGCTCTAATGTCTTTCATCCTATGCTCTCTCTCTCTCTCTCTCTCTCTCTCTCTCTTTGCTGCTGCAAGTAAAGAGAAAAAGGACAAAGACATATAGTGAAGGAGAAAGAAAAAGAAAGAAGTAGTGGAAAACATAAAGACACACACACACACACACACACAGAGAGAGAGAGAGAGAGAGAGAGAGAGAGAGAGAGAGAGAGAGAGAGAGAGAGAGAGAGAGAGAGAAATGTATTTATGAGTTTCCACTTCGCAAGTAAAGGAAATTACGCCGTAAACTGGTGATTCCAGCCGAGTATTCACGCTTGTGATGGAGCAATATAGAATTCTGTCGAGTCTCTCCTTAGAGCGTAATGTTCCAGGTCTGATTATGACATTAATCTGCGTTGCACTTTGTCCTATTAGCAAGAAAGTAGCACCCAATTTCATGGTTCCAATACTTTCCATCTCCAATTATCAAAATAGCAATAAGATGTATGAATTAATTCCTTCCTTTTGTAAGTGTAATACTCAACCTGAATCTAACCCAATTTAACCAAACATAACATAATCTTACCCAAACAAATCTAACTTTAATCTAACTTAACAAAAACCGATCTAGCATAGACTAACTTATCCGTCTGCTAATTTATCCTAATATAACCTAACTCAAGCTAATCTAGTTTAACCTCTCCTAACATAAGCTAATCTTTTCAAAACATTAATGTGAAACGAGACATCGAGTCATTACGAAACAGTGCATGTGTGTGTGTGTGTGTGTGTGTGTGTGTGTGTGTGTGTGTGTGTGTGTGTGTGTGTGTAGTGCTGTGTGATGTGTGTTGACATTTTAGTATGAATAGATAACAAAGACACACTGGCTTAAAACACGATGAACTATGTCACTAACCCACATCAGGGGCCTGGGGAGAACAAAAATGAAAACACCATAAATAAATACAGATCAAGGTGAAACGATATATTGTTGTGTTGTCAACGAAAGAGAAACCATTGAGACCCTGCAATTGTGTGTAAATTAGGCAGCAGGATCTACCATTAGACTATACATTATGTTTCCAATATCGTCCCAGGCGGTAGTACTCCTGTTTGATAGCTGCCTATTATCTACTACCTAAGTATGTATGACAGATCAAATATGTATGATGGAGATAGCATGTATGGTCGAGTATGTATGATAGAGAAAGTATGTATAATAGAGTAAATAAAGTATGATGGGGTAAGCAAGTATGATATAGTAAATATGACAGTAAGTAACTATGACAGAGTAGGGACGTATGAGAGAGTATGTTTGCATGATGACAGAGTAGGAGGCTGTCATGTCAAGCTACTAATGACACTGAGTTTGAACCAAGCGTCCAGGACTAGAGGGCCATCTCCCTCGCTGCGGGGCCTCCTGTACTATGTGGTAAGGGGTGTATGAGGAGGGAGGAGGAGGAGTTATGTGAGGGTGGAAGATGGGGGTGGGGGTGTGCGTGGGGTGTAAGGAGGAGTATATATATATATATGTGTGTTGTTGTTATTGTTGTTGTTGTTGGTGTGTGTGTGTGTGTGTGTGTGTACTCTAA